TTTGTGAAGTTACAGGGGTATTCTTGCAGCCGGCAGGGGTCAGCAGTTTAACGGAATTTGTTTGGGTGGGAAATACATGGCGGCGATGAGCCAACTAGCGTACTATGACGTGTGGGCCAAATGCTGACCTAGGCGGGTAAGAGCACCTATGATATAGAAAGAAAGAAAGATACACATTTATTATAATGGACATCACACAAATACAGGCAATTACATAGACATGACAGTGGCACATATAAAGGAAGAAAAAATAAAAACAAGAGTAAACTGAGCAGTGCCACCCATTCACAAATAAGATGCCCACTGCAATGACTCAGCATATGCCGTGGCCCACGGTGACGAAGGCCACGGCGCTGGTTTTCAGTGTGCCCCATGCCGAGTGAGGGTCACTTACCATATTATAATGCTACTCGTTTCAACCAGACGTCCACTGGTGGACATAGGTATCCATCAAGGAATTCCACAACGACCGGTGGAAGACTTGCACACACTAAGTCTTCCACGACAAGACAAAAACGTTCTAAGCCCGGATGATGTAAGGCATATCGCTTCCAAAAATATTACAATGCTCCTTCATCTATTAGACAGGGTCGAGAGTGAAAGGGATGTAGCAAAATCTAAGTCAGTTAATAAGACTTTATTAACCAAATACAACGCGTGTAACAAATTAATAAACATTAACTGGATACTTTTCCAACAGATATGTAAGTAATACACCAATTTTCATAATAGCAGTAGAAAACCTATACTCGCTCGTGCTCGAATAAGATAATAAAGGCTGAGGGCGGGCATCATCCGCATCCATTAAAATAATTTAACTGCCACATTTAACCTAAATAAAGGAACATCAAGTTTCCATCACACACAAAAGTTTGTACAAATTGGCCAATCCTCCCGCGACATCTCCCCTTTCGCACCTCGGCATTAAGCTTCTCCAAGCTTGAAATTAAATCGGCCGTGTGATTTACATTTTAATATGGCAAGGGACGTACCTGTACTAAAATCAAATTTATAGTATTGACGGAATCGCGTTGGCCGTTCGTTTTGCCGTAAAACCCCCGGAGGGTATTTTTATGCTGATAGAATTAGCTGATCAATTTTGTTTTCGGCTGCGAATCGGTAAATGAAATGTTCCGCCTAATCTTATAAGCCCGATTGGATCGTGGTTCTGCTTAAACGACTGGAATAAGGAGTTTCGATTCGCGGGTGAATATTAGATAATGAACGATTCGGTGCTTGCGACACATTTGAGATACAGGGTGTTCTGTAAGGTGCTAATCAACATTAAAGTTGTATGTACTTAGTTGCGTTCTAACTCAGACTCAAAATTCTTTTGTGCATATTAGGTGTTGCAAAGGAGGTATGGTGTGCTAGAAAAGGTATTTTATCCTTATCTAAATACTTGTAATTAAATTCTACTGTTTGAATTCGAAAATATTACATTACAGAGTTTTTTCTAACTCGAAAATCTCAATCTGTATAATTAGATCTGTTTTGGTGGCTCGCCCTGAAAGCCTAAGTTCAGCAGTGGACAAATGATGATGAATGTAGACGATAAAGTCTCCCGTAGTATGGATAAAAACAATAGAGATAAAATATTTATTTTAAGGTTTAGTAATTGGAATAACCCGTACTTTACTGACACCCTGCATGTAGATACCTACATACGACCATACATCAAGATACACACTGTGGAATCTTATGCCGTCGTAATAGGCGTGCTTTTACTACAAAACTGTATAGTCTGCTGGCGTCTGTACTTATTTATTCCTAGGGGAGATATACAGGCGGTGAATATATTAGTTCGCGTTCAAGTATTCGTAATAATTAATTTACTTATCATGTCTATGAAACCAATGGAATCGGAGGCGAAAATGAAGGGAAAATTTTAACAGTACCTACATTGTTTGGATATGCAAATTTTTGTTTGGGGTTCTTATTTATCATCATCATCAACATCATTTCAGGACGTCCACTGCTGACACATGCCTTCCACAATGGGCGGTTGGTGGCAGCCTGAATCCAGCGCCTTCCTGCTACCTTAATGAGTTCGTCGGTCCACCTTGTGGGTGGACGTACTACGTCCTGAAGTGGCAATGGGCAGCAAGGTTTTGGAGTGGAGGCCACGTACCGGAAAGCGCAGCGTAGGGTTGTTATCACTTATGGTCATTTTTTAATCTATTAAATGACAGGGACTATTCCCACATCTCGTTCCCACTGCTGGCACTGCTGCATCTCCTGTGAAGCCAAGATCTACACCTTGACCGCCAATAAAAACCCAACCAGTGAAGGACAAGATAAATTATCAAGAAAACACCAGCTTTAAAATCCTCTCAAAAATTACGTATCGTTTTAAATAAAATTCGTCCACATCAAATGGGACCACTACCGAACAAATGCTAATCAAAAGACCCCGCATGCATAATGCGAACAAACGAATATCTCAGAATAAAGGGGAGGAATTTAGAAAAACCCGGCGGCCCACAACAATTCATAAGAAATATTATGTCCATTACCGTGGCCGTGGTACGTCACGAAATAAACTATCCACCATTACTAGAATGAGAGTTTAAGTCTGCGCAGAATGTGCGAAGCGGGGAGTCGTCAGCAAACCAAACACCTAACTCGTAAACACAGACGCATTATTCATGAAGCTATTTATTTGTATTGCTTACTTACCTTCGGGTTTTTGCTGGGTACACGGAGGGTGAGTCTTGGGTGAGCTACCTACTTTGATAATATGGAATGACGTGACACAGTTCGACGCGTACTATGTGACATTTTCCGTTGGTTTTCTAACAAATCAACGCATATGCATTTTGTGTTTTGTGCAACAAGACTTAGTTTCAGTGTTACTAAGGAAAGTGTATATTTATTTATTTTATTTCGATCAAGATGTTTCACTTAAAATTACCTCTGTGGTAGATTACTATTGCTATGTAAGTTATCGTTATAGTTGTTCAACAGTGGACCGTCCAAGCTGACATTGTCAGGAGAGCGCTACAATTAATACTGGGTTATTAGGTCCGATTTTTGCCACTTGACGTGTCAGAATTCATCATCATCATCATCTCAGCCATAGGATATCCACTGCTGAACATAGGCCTCCCCAATGCTTTCCATGTTGCCCGGTTGGTAGCGGCCTGCGTTTGTTGTTTCAGAATTGTTTGACTATATTTCACGCCACCTGTCACTAAAATGTCGATAAATGAGTCACCCACGTGGAACATTAAATCAGAAAACGAAATGACTCATTCAATTGTGTTGCTGGGACATTCGTCACGAAATTGGGGCCAACATTTTGTCCAAACCAAATGAAGGTCCAAACTATCCACTAAATAAAGTGAGTCCATTTTGTTGATGAAATTTAAATAACATTTAATCCATTCAATCTGCAGGCCAACCCAGGCCACCTTATTTTATGTGCCATAAAAATGCTTTTCGTCTATTCGAAAATTGGGTAGTTGACGACACCATCTGTCTATAGATAACTTTAAGATGTCAAAATTCATTATCCAACCAGTTTGAACATTGAGGACTATTACAAAAAGTTAAACACCCGTTTAACACTTGTTTAAATTGACACATCCAACGTTTATTTAAATTTTTTTTTGTAATACAGCCCTACTTTTTCAATTGATTTAGAGCCGATATTTCAATTGTCAGAAAAATCTTTTATTTTAAAAACTAGCTTTCCGCCCGCGGCTTCGCCCGCGTGGAATTTTGTCTGTCACAGAAAAACTTTATCGCGCGCGTCCCTGTTTCAAAAACCGGGATAAAAACTATCCTATGTTCTTTCCCGGGACTCAAACTATCTCTATGCCAAATTTCATCAAAATCGGTTGCGAGGTTTAAGCGGGAAAGCGTAACAGACAGACAGACAGACAGAGTTACTTTCGCATTTATAATATTAGTTGGGATAACATATTTCCCAGATTGAAAAGTCAGCCCTTAGTAAGCTTTCAAAGCAACTGTGCCATAAAATTGTATTTTTAACTAGTAAATAAATAAATAACCTAAATACCGAACGAATAATTTCCCCCTCACANTGAAAAATCAGCCCTTATTAAACTATAAATCGAACGAATATTTATGCAGATCACTGTTGTATTGTTAACCGCAAAACGCCGCAGTGATTTGGGAAATAAGCCTAACATTTATTATTTCACTTTACTAAATCGACAAGATAAATGATTTTCGTTCCAAAGCAAAAGGAACGAAAGCGGACTACCGGAAGTTAGTTGCCAACGTCACACACGACGCCAGCGCCACCTACTTCCGGCGGCACGCGCGCCTCCGGATCACCTTTCAAATATCGAGTTAATGTAACTTTCTACTTAGATTCTATATTTAGGAGTAAGTATACAGGGTGTTAGGTAAATGGGTATATGAGCCGACACTAGCCCATGTTAACATGGGCATATAAATGGTATGGTGAAGTCAGAAATTTGATATCATCATTTTATTTTTTTTAATTTTCATACAAAATATATAAAATCCGATTTGTATGAAAATTAAAATAATTAAAATTAAGATATCAATTTTCTGACTTCACCATANATATCATCATTTTATTTTTTTTAATTTTCATACAAAATATATAAAATCCGATTTGTATGAAAATTAAAATAATTAAAATTAAGATATCAATTTTCTGACTTCACCATACCATTTATATGCCCATGTTAACATGGGCTAGTGTCGGCTCATATACCCATTTACCTAACATCCTGTATATTATGCGCTAATAATTTTGTACGTCAGTACACAATTTTATTAAGTTAAGATTTGTCGTACCTAAAACAGTAAGTTATTCATGGGTGTATTCATCATCAATATCGTTTCAGACGTAGGACGTCCAGTGCTGAATATAGGCCTCCCCCAATGATTTCCACAATGGCCGGTTGGTGGCGGGCGGCCTGCATCCAGCGCCTTCCCGCTACCTTTATGAGGTCGTTGGTCCACCTTGTGGGTGAATTATTTAATAAAAACTTCAAACGTAGTTAAAAAACGATGTATTTGAAGTCATAGATAAATCAATATGAATTAAACTTAGCATGAATCATTGTTTTACAAATACTAGTTGTAAATCTTACAGTTTTCTTCATTCGATGAGGGTGGAATGTACCTGAATGAATCTACTAAGACCACCGACCTTATTGCGACTTGTCCCATAATTGTAATCTGTAACAAAGTAAAACGTGCTTTAGCATAGATCTAGGAAAGGTTATAATGAGAAAGTATCGATTATCAAATGCTGTTAAAATGACAATACTTGTACTCCCTAAAAATAGCAGTTCAATTAGAACACTAGTATAGAATCACGGATTGATGATTGGTGAGAAATAAATATTTTTTTTTGTGTAATTTACCCAACTCTTTTTCTTAGAAAATAAATAGATACACTCACCTGTCCATCGAAGTCGCCGTCTCCAGCCAACTGTATCCTTAAAGTGCTCCATCCAAACTGGCGATCAGTTCCAGCTGAGCCAACCACCAAGTCAGTCCCAAGTGAATTTATCTGATAGACTGTTACAAGCACTCTGTCTGCTGCCAAAAATGGCTGCAAATATACTTTCATTTCTAAAATACCCCCGGCGGACATGGGGAAAATAAATGACGACGTGCAACTCCATCCATTGCCTGGTATTATGCATGAGAAACTGTCTTCGTGAGGGCTGTCTATTGCTAACATTGAATAGTTCCTCAATAGCCAATTGGTAGAATATCTACAAACTCCATCACTCGAAAATAAGGTATTATAATCTTGACCGAACTGGTAAGTAACACATCCATCCTCCTCCGAATCTGGTTCTTCCACTTCGGGGGTAGTTGAAGCTTCATTGGCTTCTGTGGTCGGAGATATAACGGGTGTTTCATCGTACACGATACAAAGACTTTCATCAACGGTAGGAGGAATATAGCGAAATGAATCTACTATAGCCAAAGATCTTATAGCAACTTGTCCCATTATAGTGACCTGAAACAAAACAAAAGCATGACTAACTTTAGTCCCACTACTCATTCCACTCTTGATTTAAAGTCATTCTAATATTTAGCTTAAAAAAATAAAGGTTACTTTGAGAAAATTTACATTGCCAATGAAATGAGGCTTTAAGCTCGTAGCAGACTTATCAACTCGGAAAGGGATCAACATCGTATCGCCTCTCGCGCGCGCTATCAACCGCGAGGCGAGGCGTTTACGTTACGGTGCGGATAAGTGTGCGTTGCAGTATGGAGTTTCATACAAATAATACTGACCGCCTCGAGTTGATACAGTCCCTTTCCGGATTGATAAATGTGTGACGTTCTTAATGTTGCTGTGCTTATAGGTTTTATTAGTTATTATTTGATCTCGCTTTTATACATCATGACAATAATGAAAAATCTAATATTAAGTACTTCAACCAACTCACCTGTCCATGGTAATCGCCGTCCCCGGCCAACTGTATCCTTAAAGTGCTCCATCCAAACTGGCGATCAGATGCAGCTGAGCCAACCACCAAGTCAGTTCCAAGTGAATTTATCTGATAGACTGTTACAAGCACTCTGTCTGTCGCCGAAAACGGCTCCAAGTATACTTCCACTTCTAAAATACCCCCGGCGGACATAGGGAAGGTAAATGACGATGTACAACTCCATCCGTTGCCTGGTATTATGCATGAGACACTGTTTTTGTGAGGGCTGTCTATTGTTAATGAAGTGTAGTTTCTCAGTAACCAATTGGCGGAATATCTACAAACGCCATCATTCGAAAATAAGCTGTTGAAATCTTGACCGAACTGGTAAGTGACACATCCAGCGCCAGGATTCTCGTTAGATTCAGAATCAGGATCAGTCTCGTTGGAGTCGGAAGTACCAGGATAACTTTCAGTAGATCCAGTGCCAACAGTAGACTCATTAGAGTCAGAAGTACCAGGATAACTTTCAGTAGATACAGTGCCAACAGTAGACTCATTAGAGTCAGAAGAACCAGGATAACTTTCAGTAGATACAGTGCCAACAGTAGACTCATTAGAGTCAGAAGAACCAGGATAACTTTCAGTAGATACAGTGCCAACAGTAGACTCATTAGAGTCAGAAGAACCAGGATAACTTTCAGTAGATACAGTGCCAACAGTAGACTCATTAGAGTCAGAAGAACCAGGATAACTTTCAGTAGATACAGTGCCAACAGTAGACTCATTAGAGTCAGAAGAACCAGGATAACTTTCAGTAGATACAGTGCCAACAGTAGACTCATTAGAGTCAGAAGAACCAGGATAACTTTCAGTAGATACAGTGCCANCAGAGCCAACATCAGACTCATTGGACTCAGAAGAATCAGGATTACTTTCAGGAGATCCAGTGCCAACATCAGACTCATTGGACTCAGAAGAATCAGGATTACTTTCAGGAGATCCAGTGCCATCATCAGACTCATTGGACTCAGAAGAATCAGGATTACTTTCAGGAGATCCAGTGCCATCATCAGACTCATTGGACTCAGAAGAATCAGGATTACTTTCAGGAGATCCAGTGCCATCATCAGACTCATTGGACTCAGAAGAACCAGGATTATTTTCGGTTGATTCAGAGTCAGCGTCAGCGTCATCTTCGGCATATATTTCGCATATTTCATTAGCTAAAAACGGTGATTCGTATTTGAGGGCGTCCATAACAATTGACGAATCCATTGAAGCTCTTCCAAATATTGTGAACTGTAACAACAATAAAAATATAAAAATTTGATATTATTTGGAGAAAAAAATGAGCTTTAAATCTCCTAAATTAACTTTAACAATTACGAGTATCGTAAAATAAATCTAGGTATTTTTTACAGGTATTTTATGCAAACAAATTACTGAGTTTTAACTTACATAACCGTTGAAACTCTCAGAGCCAAGTAACTTCACTTTTAGCGTGGTCCAAGCTGAATTTTTGTAACTACCAGCCACCAGATTAGTTTCTGAAATTCCGACAATCGTATCGGGCCCATCCATTTCTTTTTGATACACTATCACTTTTACAAAGTCAGTATCCAATGTGAGAGAAGTGTATACGTTAAATTCGAATACACCATCTTTATGCATCGCAAATAAGGATGACGTCATGCAGCTGAGAACGGTACTTGGAGTTATAAAGGCAGTGCTTTTAATATGTGGACTATTCACTTCACCGCTTGGGTACAGTTTGCGCTCCCACGGTTGCTGGTTGCACACTTCATGTGAAGTGAAGTTGTTGGCCAAATCATCTTCAAAGTCGTAGATAACACAATTTTCACACAAAACACAACTAACGAAAATAAGGACAGCGAAAATGTATGTTGGCACCATTTTTGCAAATAATGATGCACCAAATGTAACCTATTTGTAATCGGCGTGCTTTTTAAGTGTCCCCGTTTTTAAGATAGGTGTATAGATAATTTTCGTATCTTAGATGATCAATTGAGATATAGTATTTACTTATTATTAGTTACTTATCAAGGAAATTATATTTATCCTCAAAGTTGCACAGCGTGCTATGGAGAGGGNACCAGGATAACTTTCAGTAGATACAGTGCCAACAGTAGACTCATTAGAGTCAGAAGAACCAGGATAACTTTCAGTAGATACAGTGCCAACAGTAGACTCATTAGAGTCAGAAGAACCAGGATAATTTTCGGTTGATCCAGAATCAGGGTCAGCGTCATCATCGGCATATATTTCGCATATTTCATTAGCTAAAAAGGGTGATTCGTATTTGAGGGCGTCCATAACTATTAACGAATCCATTGAAGCTCTTCCAAATATTGTGAACTGTAACAACAATAAAAATATAAAAATTTGATATTATTTGGAGAAAAAAATGTGCTTTAAATCTCCTAAATTAACGTTAACAATTACGAGTATCGTAAAATCCATCTAGGTAATTTTTACAGGTATTTTATGCAAACAAATTACTGAGTTTTAACTTACATAACCGTTGAAACTCTCAGAGCCAAGTAACTTCACTTTTAGCGTGGTCCAAGCTGAATTTTTGTAACTACCAGCCACCAGATTAGTTTCTGAAATTCCGACAATCGTATCGGGCCCATCCATTTCTTTTTGATACACTATCACTTTTACAAAGTCAGTATCCAATGTGAGAGAAGTGTATACGTTAAATTCGAATACACCATCTTTATGCATCGCAAATAAGGATGACGTCATGCAGCTGAGAACGGTACTTGGAGTTATAAAGGCAGTGCTTTTAATATGTGGACTATTCACTTCACCGCTTGGGTACAGTTTGCGCTCCCACGGTTGCTGGTTGCACACTTCATGTGAAGTGAAGTTGTTGGCCAAATCATCTTCAAAGTCGTAGATAACACAATTTTCACACAAAACACAGCTAACGAAAATAAGGACAGCGAAAATGTATGTTGGCACCATTTTTGCAAATAATGATGCACCAAATGTAACCTATTTGTAATCGGCGTGCTTTTTAAGTGTCCCCGTTTTTAAGATAGGTGTATAGATAATTTTCGTATCTTAGATGATCAATTGAGATATAGTATTTACTTATTATTAGTTACTTATCAAGGAAATTATATTTATCCTCAAAGTTGCACAGCGTGCCATGGAGAGGGCTATGCTCGGTGTTTCTTTACGAGATCGAATCAGAAATGAGGAGATCCGTAAACGAACTAAAGTCGCTGACATAGCCCGACGGATCAGCAAGCTGAAGTAGCAATGGGCAGGGCACATAGTACGCAGAACTGACGGCCGATGGGGCAGCAAGGTTCTGGAATGGAGGCCACGTACCGGAAAACGCAGCGTGGGACGTCCACCCACAAGGTGGACCGACGACCTGATAAAGGTAGCAGGAAGGCGCTGGATGCAGGCCGCTACCAACCGTGCGATGTGGAAGTCATTGGGGGAGGCCTATGTTCAGCAGTGGACATCCTGTGGCTGAAATGATGATGATGATGATGATTTATCCTTGCTTTCTATCATCAGGTCATTTAGTCTCCACTGCAGGAGCACGACCCTCTCTAATGCACCAGAGGCAAATGGAGGATTTGGCCTACACTCCCCACGCTGCCGCGCTAGCCAGACGGGCTGGGGCGACGGGTTGGAATTAGGGATGTTATGGATATGTATTTTCGGTTATGGATACGGTTACGGCTATTGGAATAATATTATATCGGTTTCGGTTAGTTACGGATATTTTTTTATTTTGGATATCCGAAAGTTTCGGTTACGGTTACGGATATTGTGCTAAGTATAGAATTCAAATTCCAATAGTTGTCTAACACAGTTCATGTCTTACGAATAAAATGGGTATAGAAGAGATTTCTTTGGCATCTGTCACCTTCTTTTGGTCTCACAAAAAAGCTTTTATCTTATGGGAAAAAACTCATGTACTTTAAAAAGGAATCATCAAATAAGCGTAGGGACTTGCTTGACTCTGCCTACATCCGAAACTATCCGAAACCTTTCAATCGGTTATGGTTACGGTTACGGATATTTTTTTATTTCGGATATCCGAAAGTTTCGGTTACGGTTACGGTTATCCATAACATCCCTGGTTGGAATCAGGAGACCAGAGATACCTTGCTTTAAAAACCTAAATAGTGTGCCACTTGTAGAGCAACTTATTTTAATCAAGTTTGAATAAAATAAGTTGACGGAAAAATTTAAATATGTAGATAGGTATATCTGGGTAAAGAGAGCATGTTAATAAGAAATCAATGGAAAAGGTAAAGTTGTCATAATGTTATTTTGAATGGTTTAATTTTTAAGATTCTGATCTAAGCACATAACTTGTACTGATAATGTGAATCCCCGATCTTTATCAGAAAATTAAAGGTTTAGTTACTAATTGATTGTTATCATCATCATTATCAGCATGTTTTATACATAATTTTGTTGCGGTTTCGGAAAGGGGAACACCCAAATATTCATAATAAACTTTCTAAGCGTGTTGACGACTGCTACATGAGTGGGTCTAGTCAAAATGCCATCCCAAACCAATAGGAAGTTTTCACTAATGTCAGTCGCCGCGTCACCAGTAATTCGATTCGATCGGAAAATGGCAGCCAAAATGCACATTGAACCACCAACGACGCGGCGATATAAAAGTTCATTCAAAATCGAATAAAAGTTAAAAAATGTCTATGACTTTGCGATTGTTTTTACTTTTTTTTCTTCCTTCTTTCTGCTCTCTGTTTACGTCTATGCTTCGCCGTCAAACTAACTGTCAAAACGACATCGCGATACGGATTTGTCAAAACAGCCTTAGGGTGGGTTGCACCATCTTAGTTTAACTTTGACAAACGTCTAAAATCTGTCAAACTCCATACAAAAAACTCCGGTTAACGTCATAGTTACGGTCAAAGTTAGGTGGTGCAACTCACCCTATTGGTTTTCGATTGAATCGAAGCTTATCACCGGGGTTTTAGTAATCGCAATGAAAATGGCGGGTGTTGCGATTCGATTCGATTTTGATTGAGTCTTATATGCATGTTGGCTAAGCCTTTGTATGGGAAATTTCAATCCAGTCTTTCGATTATAGATAGGTACGGCTTTGCGATTCGATTTTTTGCCGTTTGACTAAGCCTTTTTTGTTATCGACCTCTTTTGCGATTTGTTTATTTGTTTGCGACTGGTTTGCGATGGGTTTGCGATTTTAAAGTGCGTTTTGACTAGACCCGCAGGTAAGGTAAGGATTTTGTTATAGAAAATAAGTATTTACAATTTGCAGTTGCCGTTTTTTGTTAAAAATATTAAGCAATCAGGAGACCAGAGATACCAAAATATTTTTTTTCCACTTTTTCTGGCTCTATAAAAAGATAATGGAAACTTAGATTCAATTCAGTCATAAATTAATCCCAGTTGACCAATTTCAACGCCCATCTTAACTATCATATTTGTCTTATGTATTGCAATAAAAAAGGGGAAAATTTTGCTTAAAATGCTTTTTTTTTTTTAAATAACCTAAAAATATAGAATCGACAGCTTTTTACAAGCTTTTTATTACTTTCACATGTCTGGTGTCTGTCGTCAAATCTTGCAACTTAAAATTGACCCACTTCCCGGTTTCCTATTGAGCTGAAATTTTGCATACATGTGTAAGTCCGATGACAATGCAATATTATGGTACCATTGAGCTGGTCTGATGATGGAGTCGGGAGGTGGCCATAGGAACTCCTAAACAAAACGGCGGAAACTCATCGAGTTTGGGTTCGTTGGATTTGTCTTTTCGAGCACTTTAGTGTTAGATAACGTCCAGGGTCCTGAGATTAAGATATAACTAAAAAGTGTAAAATAAAATTATAATAAAAATAAACTTTTTTAAAAACAAGCTTTTATTCTGAATTTCGAAAGCTTGTAGCGCAAACAGAGAAAAAGAGGAATAAATTCCATGCGCGATACAAACTTTCGAAATTCAGAATAAAAGCCTGTTTTTAAAAAAGTTTATTTTTATTATAATTTTTTATTAATATTACAAGCTTTATATTGACTTCACTTGTTAGTATGTGTGGGACAAATCTTGCAACTGAATTTAAGACCACTTCTCCTCAACCGATTGAGCTGAAATTTGGCATACTTATGTAAGTACGATGACAATGCAACGTTATGGTACCGTTGAGCTGGTCTGATGATGGAGTCAGGAGGTGGCCATAGGAACTCCTAAACGAAACGGCGGAACCTCATCGAGTTTGAGTTGTTTTTCTTTGACTTGACCATAGAGATATAAAGAGATGCCAAAGCCAACTAATGCACTGAGTTCGAAACTCAGTGTCGCATTAGAAATTCACACACAAAGTAATCAAAATATGTGCTCATTATCCACTGCAGTGTCAGTATTCAACGTTCGAATAATCTTTAGTACTACGCAAGCAATGTAAACTGTTTACATTATAACGTCACTGCTGTCATCATTGCTTTCACGAGCAATGCGTTCTATTTTTGGGCATATTGCTGCGACACCGGCCCCGCCCGGCCTCTTTGTCACATCTCCCTTTAGTTTCTGTGATCTGTGAACTTGACTTAGCTAGGGGCCCTGAATCTACGGGGCCCTGGGTTGAAGCTCAAAAAGCCATATGGTAGATCCGGCCCTGAGTACGGTTGCGAAATGTTGCCAATAATTTTGAATGTGTATCCATAAGTGCTTCTTGACCTCACACTCAAAATCTAATATAAACCCTATGTAACTTTCCATAGAGTCCATATTTTAACTGTTGTTTGTGATTAGATGGTCATATTGCAAAATCATGAGAGCTCGTTCTTATTGAATACCGCTCATAGCCCGTAAAAAGATAAAAGATGCTACCAGAGGTTAGCTTTTATGGCTTTGTTTTCTTAGTCGCTTTAAATATATTTTACTTTGTTAATCGGATTGTTTACTTATGGTGCCAAATCGACATCTTTAGTTATTCCATTCATTCAGAATAACATCGTTGAAAAAATCCAATCCATCCCAATCCCAACTAATCCCAACTAATATTATAAATGCGAAAGTAACTCTGTCTGTCTGTTACGCTTTCCCGCTTAAACCTCGCAACCGATTTTGATGAAATTTGGCATAGAGATAGTTTGAGTCCCGGGAAAGAACATAGGATAGTTTTTATCCCGGTTTTTGAAACAGGGACGCGCGCGATAAAGTTTTTCTGTGACAGACAAAATTCCACGCGGGCGAAGCCGCGGGCGGAAAGCTAGTAATAAATAAATAATAAGTAGAGATATTATAGACGGTTTTGACCTGCTTGATTAATATTATCAACGCCTCTTACGACATCCACGGATCGAGTGGGAGTAGGACCTAGGCCTGGAACCCCACGGCTAAAATCTTACAGAAAAAATCTGTTACTACCCGTTCGCGCTAAGTTTGCCGGTCCGTGGAATGCGCGTCCCTTCCCCCAACTGCGATTAAACGCAATTAGTTAGTGATTAAACGCAATTAAGTGTCTCATTTTACGCAAATACACAATTTTTATCAATATTAATAAACTAGCTTTCCGCCCGCGGCTTCGCCCGCGTGGAATTTTGTCTGTCACAGAAAAACTTTATCGCGCGCGTCCCTGTTTCAAAAACCGGGATAAAAACTATCCTATGTTCTTTCCCGGGACTCAAACTATCTCTATGCCAAATTTCATCAAAATCGGTTGCGAGGTTTAAGCGGGAAAGCGTAACAGACAGACAGACAGACAGACAGACAGACAGACAGAGTTACTTTCGCATTTATAATATTAAGTTGGGATTAGTTGGGATAAAAAATATTTTCAATATAGTTTCCTAAAGTTATAGACGCTTTCCTTCGAGTGACGTCATATCGCCAGCGGCAAACTTATCGCGAACGGATACTGTAGGCGCGCGAGTTCATGTCCATCGGGGCCTTACTTACTTACTTATTTACTTATACTTACTTATAAGTTGCAAAAAATATGGAATAAGTACCTAGATAAGGTTGACCTACTTAATTGGTA